AAAAAGAAAGAACGCACCGGTGAGCTCAGCAACACCAAAAGACCCGGAAGACCACGGAAAACAACTGTGGTGGATGACCGAAGAATTCTTTCCCTGGTGAAGAAAACACCCTTCACAACAGTTGGCCAGATCAAGAACATTCTCCAGGAGGTAGGTGTATGTGTGTCAAAGTCAACAATCAAGAGAAGACTTCACCAGAGTGAATACAGAGGGTTCACCACAAGATGTAAACCATTGGTGAGCCTCAAAAACAGGAAGGCCAGATTAGAGTTTGCCAAACGACATCTAAAAAAGCCTTCACAGTTCTGGAATAACATCCTATTTACAGATGAGACCAAGATCAACTTGTACCAGAGTGATGGGAAGAGAAGAGTATGGAGAAGGAAAGGAACTGCTCATGATCCGTCGCATACCACCTCATCAGTGAAGCATGGTGGTGGTAGTGTCATGGCGTGGGCATGTATGGCTGCCAATGGAACTGGTTCTCTTGTATTTATTGATGATGTGACTGCTGACAAAAGCAGCAGGATGAATTCTGAAGTGTTTTGGGCAATATTATCTGCTCATATTCAGCCAAATGCTTCAGAACTCATTGGACGCTTCACAGTGCAGATGGACAATGACCCAAAGCATACTGCAAAAGCAACCAAAGAGTTTTTTTAAGGGAAAGAAGTGGAATGTTATGCAATGGCCAAGTCAATCACCTGACCTGAATCCCATTGAGCATGCATTTCACTTGCTGAAGACAAAACTGAAGGGAAAATGCCCCAAGAACAAGCAGGCACTGAAGACAGTTGCAGTAGAGGCCTGGCAGAGCAACACCAGGGATGAAACCCAGCATCTGGTGATGTCTATGCGTTCCAGACTTCAGGCTGTAATTGACTGCAAAGGATTTGCAACCAAGTATTAAAAAGTGAAAGTTTGATTTATGATTATTATTCTGTCCCATTACTTTTGGTCCCTTAAAAAGTGGGAGGCACATATGCAAACTGTTGTAATTCCTACACCGTTCACCTGATTTGGATGTAAATACCCTCAAATTAAAGCTGATAGTCTGCAGTTAAAGCACATCTTGTTCGTTTCATTTCAAATCTATTGTGGTGGGGTATAGAGCCAAAAATGTTAGAATTGTGTTGATGTCCCAATATTTATGGACCTGACTGTATAAGATACTCTCAGGTTTAAGTAAGGAATGGAATATATAGAATAATGAGAGCGGTATTTAGGAGTAATAATTGATGAGAAAAAAACAAGAGGAATGTATAGTTTAATTCACAGAAAATGTAATATGAAGGAGGTAGAAATGAACTATACATTTTTGATAAGATGGTACATCACACCGAGTGTTGCACATAGGATAAGTGAAAATAATTCACCTTTATGTTGGCGGGGATGTGGAAATAGAGGCACAATGTTTCACCTGTGGTGGGAGTGTCATAAAATACAAGAGTACTGGGGAGGTATAATACATTTAATACAGGAAATAACGGAGGTCAATATTTCAAAGAAACCAGAGATTTGTCTTCTTTATGGTTCAGAGCTATCAGTAAAAAAATATAAAAAAATCAGATTAGTGTACTATTTGAATGCCGCGAAGGGTTTGATACCCAAATTGTGGAAGAAACAACAAGCACAGAGAGTAAAGGATTGGATAGAAAGGGTAGAGAGGACTTACAAATTGGAAGAACTCTACCACATGGAGGAAGATAGGATGGAGGTTTTCCGTAAAAGATGGGAAAAGTGGGAAGCATTTAAAAGGTCAAATTCATACCTGGAATATATGTACTAGGGAAAAGAAGTAATGGAGGATAAATATAACATTAAATAAAAAAAAAGAAAGTAATATTCTTTTAGGATAAATAGAACGAGTAGGAAAGAAATCAATCAGGGCTGCGGGGAGGGTTTAAAGGCTGCGGAGGTATGGAGTAGGAGGGAGTGAAAGGGCAAGGGGGAAAAAGGATACTAAGAGTAATGTCAATGTTTTGATATATCGTTAGATAAATATGAGTATCATAGTATGGTGGTTTTGTTAGCTTTTGTATATGGAAAATGGTATTTTGAAAATCTATAATAAAATATTTATAAAAAAAAAATATCCCAGGAGTTTCATTGACTTGATGCTATACTCTGATTAAAAAGTATTCCTTTAATTTTTTTGAGCAGTGTACTTGAAGGCGACCACTACACACATACAGTAGCACAGGCCTATCTGGCACTGTGTATGTGAAATAATAACATAGACAGCGCAGATATACTTTGTCTTTTACAAGGATTTATATATACACTCAGCAGCTGCATTTAAACTATTAGATCATAAGAATACTTATACAGTAGTCCCTTCTGGGTTTAGTAGCATAGATAGGACATGTGGCTGAGACGTTTTCTCTCTGTCCACTTCCTCCTTCTAGGATCTTTTTCTAACAACCCCAGAGACAGGAAGTGACATACACAATTAACTCTATGGTAATTAACAAACAAAAGCTATTTACAAATTCAGGCAGTAGAGAACAGTAGATCCCTGCAACTATATAATAATTAAAACAGTATTAAACCAAAAATTAAAGATTCATTATATTGCAGCTTACTAATTCTTAAATGTGATGGCTGCATTAGTTTTCATTTTAGGCTCTTTCCTTTATTTTCACTTGGTGGACCAGTCGGTAAATCTGTTATTTTTCAACAGAACAAGCTGTCCTGCAGATGTAGTATTTAGAGGGTTGAGTCAAACCATTTAACACTGAAAGGGTTGCTTACAAGGATCAGCTTTTACTCGTTTATTTAAAATATTTTACCAAAGAAAAAACTGTTATTGTAACTGCTTAAAAAGTGTGAGCTGGAGTTTGGGTTCCATTTGTTGATGTATCTAAATCTGCTAGTACATCAAACCCTCCCCTCCCCCAAGGGTAACAATGGTTGCTTCTTCATCCAGAATGTATGCACCCTAATACAGGAGGTGTGTTACTGGCTGGATCACTATTTGAAAACAGAAGGAAAAAGCCTAAAGGAACAAAATTAATGCAGAGCCCACATTAGAGATGTGCATAATGAAAATATTTGTTTTGTTTCAGATTTGTTGGTCAAGTATATAATTTTATTTAATCTTATTCGTTATGGTAGAATGATTTGTTTTTGGAGTTTGCTTTGTATATTGGGATTTATTTTGTATATTTGTTGTTCCGAATCGATTTGTATTTTCGTAAGATATTTTGAAAGATTAGCTATATTTGTTTTAATGTGTTCATTTGTTATTTCAGGATATTACTTATGCAGTCTTCCCTGCCAGTCTAACCCACAAAGAGAAATGGAAAGAGTTGATTGGACAATATTAAGTTGTGTGCATCCAAAAGTAACGAATGGAATAAAATCAATTTCAAATTCATTAGTTGTGTTTTGATTTGGAGATTCTGATGCATCCACCTCCATTAAACCCAAACACAATAAATAGGAATCATTTTATTTCACTTTTATACCTTACTTATTACAATACACAATGTTTCCATTTTATATGTAATGTATTTTTTATCATAATGAAAAATGTTAATGAAAGAAGAATTGGCTGATTATATTATCTGAGGGTCAAAGACTACTGCGCCAATCTCACCTGAATAAAACAAAAGGATCTAAATTAATTCAGATCATTCTTTTTGGCGTTACATTCTTTCAGATGCTTCAAACATTAACAAAAGGTCCAAACTATTGCATTGTGTCATCTGAATAAACTGAATGAATACAAATGTATTAGCTGTTTTCATTATATTTTATTTTGGATTTATTGAAATTTATTATTGTGATTCAGAGATTCGGATACATTTGAATCTCCGAAAAATGAAAATTTAATCTGAATTTTGATTAGTAATCAAATGAATCGCACATGTCTACATGGTAGCGGTGAAAAAATTTCCATCAGGTATCATTTTTACTGCATATGCATGCCTTTACCCCATTCATATGGGTGAATAATACTCATGGTAGCTTTCAGATATCATTAAAAAAACAGCTCAACAATAGGAATGAATAGGGGCCGCAGCTGCATGTGGAACAAGAAGAGGACCCAGCAAGGGCATTTTTATTGCAAAGGCTGTACATCACTGAGCAGGGACACACATCACCAGAACAGGAAGGAAGGTAATTATTTTACAGGTCAGGCTATACTCAGAGGTGGGAGGATTAATTAAAGTGACAGTAAAGGCAATTAAAAAAAAAATAAATAAATAACAAACATGACAAACTTACCTGCTCTGTGCAATAGTTTTGAACAGAGCAACCCCGATCCTCTTCTTCTTGGGTCCCCTCGCTGATGCTCCTGGCTCCTCCCTCCTGCCAAGTTCCCCAGAGCAAACAGCTTGCTGTGGGGGCACCCAAACATGCTCGCTCCCTAGCAGCTACTCTGCATTTCCATTCACACACAGATCCGTGGGTCGGGCCCGGCCCCTTTCTCTCCTCATTGTCTTACTGGCTGTGATTGACAGCAGCAGGAGCCAATGGCAGCTGCTGTCTCAGCAATGAGAAGAGAGACTCCCTGGAGAGCCAAGGCTCTCGTGCACATCACTGGGTTGGGATTGGGCTTAGGTAAGTATTGGTGGAGCTAGGGGCCTGCTGCTCACAAAAGGTGTTTTACCTTCATCCACAGAATGCATGAACGTAAAAAAAAAATTGAGCTTTTACAACCACATTAAATGACAACTGTACAAAATGAGCACTGACTCACAAATTGGATCTGCAGATTTTTTTTCATAGTTTGACACAAACTCATTAAAAATTTAGCCACAGCCAAAAATTCAAACATATATGATACTTTTGGTGCAGAAACAGCACCAAGGAAAAGAGCATCTACCCTTAGTAACCAAACTGAATAAATAACAAGCTTTCTATCTGTAAATTTGTAATACTTTATATTTGTTAACCATTTTTCTGATTGCTATCTTAATGTCTCTGTTTCGTAAACTGTAAATGATTGGGTTCAGCATAGGAATTACTATGGTATAACACACAGAAATGACTTTATCATTGTCCAGCATGTAATCTGATGGGGGTCTGAGGTATGTGAACATCACAGTTCCATAGAAAATAGACAGACATGTCAGGTGAGACGCACAAGTGGAGAAAGCTTTACTTCTCCCCCTTGCAGACTGTATTCTTAGTATAGTCACAAGAATATTGATATAGGAGAATAAAATGGTTGACAAGCAGATGACAGATGCAAAGCCACCAAAAAGAAAAATCACAACCTCATTGAGATATGTATCAGAACATGTGAGTTTAATAATGGGCAGAATATCACAGTAGAAATGATCAATAATGTTGTCTTTCAAATAGTTCAACCTAAGTGTAAAACAAGCTTGAATGCATACATTAATATACCCAGCACTGTAGGCAGCAGCCACCAGATATTTACATATACTCTTAGACATGGTCATTATATACTGCAAGGGTTGACATATAGCTACAAACCGATCATAAGCCATTACTGCCAGTAAATAACTCTCTGTTGTAGCTGAACCCCCATATAATACAAATTGTATGGCACAATCAATGACAGATATAGATTTGATTTTTCTATTAATATCTGCTAAGGTGTTTGGTGTAATAACAGAAGTATAAAAAAGATCAAGCATTGCAAGCTGGCTTACAAAGAAATACATAGGTGTATGGAGGGCAGGGTCCATCCAAATAGTCACAATGATTCCTGTATTTCCGACAATAGAACTGATATAGATGAACAGGAAAACTAGGAACAGAGGAACATTTAGGTTCAGGTTGTCAGTGAGTCCTCGGAGAATTAACTCACTGCTAAATGTATACATGCTGCAGTTTTTCCATACTGTGCCCTGGAAGGAAAAATAAAACTAAGCATGAATATTTTTATACTGCACATTTTCCAGAAGCAGGTTATTAATATATCATGAAAAAGTAGAGCTGATTAAACAAGATGGCTCCAAAAATGTATAAACAGCCGTGCCAACAAGCAAGAGGCCACCCATTTGCCTGCACATTAGTGTAACACCCTGCCTTAATACTGCTTGCAGGATGTTAAATGGACACAAGATGGCAGTGTCCTGTAGCCCAGTTATTCAGACTCTGTTTAAAAGCTTTGAAATATTCGTAGGTTGATTGCAGGACTTCCTTATTTGACAGCAAGCTAACAAACTATATTTCTCAGAGGAGCTGGCGGATAGGCGGAGGCTAATAACTGCAGAAGCTCGGGAACCCCAGGACAGGAAGTGGATAGAGAGAGCTGACAAACAGTTGTAAAGGGAAGACCATGCAGGACACTGGAGGTCCAAGCTGGGCCAGACTGCAGAGAGTGGAAAGGAGAGGAGAAATCGTTGACACCGCTGACAAGTCTGGCAGATCGCCCTGTGAGCAGGCGGGCTGGAGTGCTGCTGTTCAAGATGATCTCTGAAGGAGGAACCACAAGGAAACAGGGGTCCCATCCACAGAGATGCCATCAGCCACCTGACTGAGGCCACAGATTGGGTGAGAGAATTCCATACTCAAACCAATTAAGTTGCACATGACATAGTACATAGTTAGGCTGGCTGAAAAAAGACAAAAGTCAATCCAGTTCAACCATTAAAAAAAAAAGTTATAATTCTATACCTACAGTTGATCCAGAGGAAGGCAAAAAAAACAGCAAAGCATGATCCAGTTTGCTCCTGCAGGGAAAAAAATTCCTTCCTGATCCCCCAAAAGGCAATTGGATATTCCCTGGATCAACTTTACCTATAAATGTTAGTATCCAGTTATATTCTGTGTATCTAAGAAATAATCCAGTCCTTTTTTAAAGCAATCCACTGAGCTGTCCAGAACCAACTCTTGAGGGAGTCTATTCCACATTTTCACAGCTCTTACTGTGAAGAAACCTTTCCGTGTTTAGATACATTACATTTATTTTCCTCCAGACGTAAAGAGTGCCCCCTTGTCCTCTGCGATGACCTCAGGGTGAATAGCTCTACACCAAGTTCACTATATGAACCACTGATGTATTTATACATGTTGATCATATCCCCCCTTAATCTCCTCTTCTCAAGAGAGAATAAATTCAGTACCTCTAATCTTTCCTCATAGCTGATCTCCTCCATGCCTCTTATCAGTTTGGTTGCCCTTCTCTGTACTTTCTCCAGTTCCCCAATGTTCTTTTTGTGAATTAGTGCCCAAAACTGAACTGCATATTCCAGATGAGGTGTTACTAATGATTTGTACAGCTGTAATATGATATCTCTCTCTCTGGAGTCTATACCTCTTTTAATACAAGAAAGGATTTTGCTCGCTTTAGAAACCGCAGCTTGTGATGTACCAGAACCCCCAGATCCTTCTCCACCATTGATTCCCCCAGTTGTACCCCCCCTAGTATGAATGATGCATGCATATTATTAGCCCCCAAGTGCATAACCTTACATTTATCAACATTAAACCTCATTTGCCACATAGTTGCCCAATTAAACAGTGCATTGAGGTCAGCTTGTAAGTTGGAGACATCCTGTAAGGACGTTATTCTACTGCACAGCTTGGTGTCATCTGCAAACACTGAAATTGTATTTTTAATCCCAGAACCTATATCGTTTATAAATATATTAAAAAGTAAGAGTCCCTACACTGATCCTTGGGGTACACCACTGACAACCCTAGACCATTCAGAGTATGAATCATTAACCACTAATCTTTGAATACAATCTTTTAGCCAGTTTTTTATCCATTTACACACGGATTTTTTCAAGGCTGTAGACTTTACCTTACACATTAGCTGTGTGTGGGGAACTGTGTCAAATGCTTTTGCAAAATCAAAGTATACCACGTCCACCGCAACCCCTCTGTCCAAGGTTTTACTCACCGACTCATAAAAAGAAATCATAAAAAGAAAAAGACATTACCATCTAGTTACTTTCTACCCAGCTAGACTACTATTGTTTCTCAAGTTACATGTGTTAAGGCCCAAGTTGTTCCAGCATATCCAATAACAAGGGTCTATCTGCCCTCTGCAGGCCAGTGTCTCTGATTGACCATTTCTACATCCCTAACATATAAATGTCTTATGCTTTTCTGCATCTACACCCCCTTATCTTCTGATCCCCACCTTTTTATTTTTTCTCTTACGCTTTTTTGCTACTGATCAGACTCGTGATCCCCTCCATTATTTCTCATGATTAAACGTTCAACCTAAATATCTACTTGAATCTTGCATATCAATGAGCGAAATTACCAAACTTTTCATTTCAGTGAACATATTGAACTTCTTCAACAGTTTATCTTAACAGAAAGAAAAAGATAGTTGTCTTATTTCAGTATCAGCAGTATATGAAAATGATGTCACTGACATAAAAAGACAAAGCATGTTCCTAGTACATCAGTGGGGTTATTGTACAGCACCATCTTTTGTGTAAATAGCAGAGATACAAAAAAGAGAGCTCATCCAGTAATACGCATGGAATTCATGACTTGGATATAAGGAAAATAAAGGAGAAGAAAAAAATGAATGTTGGACTCCTCAGAATCTTCAATGCATCCTCCACTACTAAGTTTTAGTGGACAGAGTGTGACTACCACAAACCTATTCATACCTAGTCAGATTTGCTTAGATGGCAACATTTATGAATTTATGATCTATGGGCCCCGGGTCCCCTCTGTTTTTAGGGGTTTTATCAATCTTTTGGTTATATTTTGTAACCTGTTCAAAATAGTCAAAATACGGTCTTAAAAACATCTAAACAGATTTTACTACTAAAACAGCCAAGAAGCACCTGACATACGATCAAACTGAGTGCTGCTTACCTGCATTTCTATTGATCAGTTTACTGAATGTGAATGTTCTGCAGTATATTGTATATGTTACAATGACTTTTTAATATTTTAAATATGAAGAATATACAGTATGTATTTTTATTAACTGAATAAATACATTTTTTTGACTTATATAACTCTAAGAGTAAAACTGCAATTCTTTCACACAGTGCATCCACAATCATAGCATTTAATTGTCTCATTTTTCTAAAACCTTCGGCTTAACGCATATGAGGCCTAAAGGAATATTTTCTCAATGGTTTATTTCCCTTCTGTTATTCTATTTACAGATATTTTTTTTTTACCAAAATCAGTACCCAAGAGTTTATATTCCTTTAGGGCATATTACCATGCTGTGTCATACCCCAAGGATGATGATTGATGATGGTAGTTACAGAAAACAGAATCTAAATCAATATAAAAATCATTTTGCAATATCAAATAAAGTATTACACAAAGTCAGTTAAAAGATCTAACCCTTTTTTCTAAAACAGTAAGTTTCCATGAGCAATACTAATTGTAATTATTTTCCTTTTCTTCCATAGTGCCAACCATAACTGACAGCAAAGGTCTCAATGTGGAACATTTAAGACTTTTCTGTTCCATAGATACTTAGAAACTAATGCTACTGCAGCAGTCAAGGAGACACTGTGAAATATTTTGTAAGAAACCGGTATGCTTTGCCTCTCAACATTCTAAAAATTAAACTTTTTAAACTGGTAATGAAATATCTGTGAACTTTGTACAACAACCTATTCAATTTAAAAGGGAAATGAAAGACAAAATGTTTGTGTTCATAGATAAAAAATGAATGTGATCACATAAATGTTCTCAGCTTCATAAAAAAATGGGATAGAGACTGCGGAGGGGGTGTCAGCAGGAGGCAGAGAAATCCAGTAGTAATATGCTGATCTTCCCAGTGAAGAGCTGTGTAGGAGGGCGTCAGCACAAGTCTTGGCCATTGGAGGACAGGTAGCCTGTGCTCCCAGCACAGCCAGAAAACTGACCACACTGAGATGGATATGCTTCTAGCTTAGCATGGTCAATTTGAAATAGGAAAGCAAGGGGACTGGCAGGATCACCAGGTATTTCACACAAAGTAAGAAATTCAAAGAGGAAGGATATTTTTTTGTAACACAAGTACATAGTAAAACAGACCCATATCAGGAATATGAAATGTTGGGGTAACAAACACTTTAAACCCCAAACCAAAAAAAGTAATTTATTGCAGCTTACCAATCATCAGATGTTGTGGCTGCATTAGTTTTTTATGTTAAAGGTATTTTCCCTCTGTTATCACCTGGTGATCTGGCCAGTCACACATCTCCTGTATTAGGGTGCCGACACTCTGGATGAATGAGCAACAGAGACATCTTTGGACAGCAGCAATGTCAGTCTGGGGAAAAGGTAGTGTTAGATGTACTAGCAGATTTTGATACACTAAACAAACTGAAGACAAGCTCCAGCTCACACTTTATATCAAGTTACAGCAGTTTTGTTTCCTTTTGGGATAAAGGTTTTACATAAATAAAAGCTGATCATTATAAGCACCCCTGTCAGTGTTAAATGGTTTGCTCAGGTCTCTAACTGCTACATCTGCAGGACTGCTTGTTCCTTTGAAGACTTACTGACTAGATCACCAGGAAGCCTTAAAAAGAAAACTAAAACAGCCACCACATCTAATGCTTCCTTTTGGAATAAAGGTTTTACATACATAAATAAAATCAGATCCTTGTATGAACCCCTGTCTGTGTTAAATTAGTTGTCTCATCCCTCTACTAGCTAGATCACCAGGTGAAATAAAAGGAAGAAAGCCAAAAAAAATGTAGCCACCACGTCTAAGAAGTAGTAAGCTATAGTATTGGGCTTTATACTAAATTAAGCCCACTTTAGAATTTGCACCACCACTTTACGGGGAATTTACGTACATTTTGATATTGCAAAAAACAAGATGCAAGCTTTCAAAACACATTCATAAAAATTGAATGCAGCGTTCACACAACATCCACTGAAGGTGAATATTCTT